TTCTACACTACTTCAGCTGGCAACATAAAACACACGCACACTGAGTACTGACGACAAGATCCTGGAACTAAAATAAGAGATAGATAAGTTGCGCTGGAATATTATAGGATTATCTGAAGTCCATAGAGAGAGAGTGGACATGGTAATCCTCGAATCCAGTAACTTATTCTATCACCGGGAGGGCCCATCTGTCCCAAGGAGGAGTTGGATTTATCGTCCAAAAATCTCTCATTAACAACGTTGTAAAGATTGAGAGTCTGTCGACGAGGGTTGCGCACCTTATACTCAGAACTACAAAACGGTATTTGCTGAAAGTCATACAGGCTTACGCACCAACCTTGGCACATCCCGATGAGGAGGTGGAGAAAATGTATGAGGATATATCTAGAACGATGCATTCCTCCAAAACTCACTATACGGTGTTAATGGGAGACTTCAATGCAAAACTGGGGACAAGAGAGGACGGTGAGCTGAAGATAGGGAAATTTGGAATAGAGCAACGGAACTCAAGGGAAGAAAGAGGCACTCTTTATGATGAACTCTTTATTCTAGAAGCGGCGCCCAGAGAAAGTGGACTTGGTCGACCTGGCGAGCCCAGATGGTACGAACCAAATGAGATTGACTTCATTATGACGATCAGCGACAACTGTTCAGTGATCGCGGAAGTGAAAACCAGCATTGGTCACCGAATGGTGAGAGCCACACTAAGCCTAAACGTTAAGTTGGAGAAGTCATATCTAATGAAGTCAACGATCACCGAATGGTTAGAGGCTCACTGAACCTTAACGTTCAGTTGGAGAGATCTCGTGTAATGAAGTCAACGCTCCGTCCCCCTCGTGCTCTAATCCAAAGTCCCAAAACCTTTCAGCTCGAGCTACAAAACCGTTTTCAGCACCTAGAAGATTGTAATGCAGTGGACGATATGAATGACAAGCTCGTGGAAACTGTCCATGCAGTCAGAGCTAAGTTTTGCAATACCTGCCGCAAAAGTACATAAAAACTCTCCGATCCCACTCTTAATATCATGGCTGTTCGACGGGAAATGAAGTTGCAGTCTTCAGTAGATTTGGCGGCATACAGGCAACTAAACAGACATGCATGCGGCGAAACTTATGCAACTTTAATACTGCTCGTATTGAAGAAGCGATCGAGCGGAACCAGGACCCCAAAGTCTTTGCTAGAAATCTGTTTGCCAGAAAGAGCTAACTGAAGACCGAGTGTGACAGCGTCGTTTCCGGGCACCTGAGATTTTAAGTGAGATTGACAGGTTCTATGGGCAGCTGTACACAACATTGTTATGCAAGTGTGAGTAACGATTCAAGAGCAAGTCTTATCCAACACTGTTCTGATGATATTCCGGACGTCAATCTGAGCAAGATTAGAATGGTTCTCCAGCACTTTAAAAACGGCAAGGCCAGGATGGAATTTGAAAGCGGGTGGAAAATACTAGTACTTGAAGTCCTTCAGGAGCTTTTTCATTCCGTCCTCCACGGTGGCACTACACCGGAGGCGTGGAGCAGAAGTGCGGTGATCTTGGGGAGGTGAAGAACTACCGACCGATTTCCGTTCTGAGCCACGGCTTCGTGCTGTTTTCGAGAGTTATTACGAATCTCTCGAAATTCGTAATAATTTCGAATTACGAATTTCGAGAGATTCTCGAAATGCCTAATTCTCGAAACTCGTCAAGTCTGCAAGCTTGCCTTCGAGTCTCCCAAACAAGCCGATTTCCGAAAAGGCTTTAGCATCATAGAGCACATACATACCCTTCGGTAAATTATACAGAAGTCCGAGGAGTACAATTTGCCACCATGTCTTACGTAGGTGGACTATAAGAAAGCCTTTGATTCCGTCGAAATTTGGGCGCTGCTGCAGTCTCTACAGCGGTGTCAAGTTGACTGTCGGTATATCGAAGTGCTGAAGTGTTTGTACAGCAGGGCTACGATGGCTATCCGAGTACAGAACCAGAGTACGAAACCTATCCAACTGCAGAAAGGTGTAATACGTATATCCCCGAAACTCTTCACCCCTGCATTGGTAGACGATTTCAAGCTTCTGGACTGGAAAAGATACGGTATTAACATCAACGGCGATTACATCTCTCACCTTCGATTTGCTGACGATATATTCCTTATGGCAGAATCGCTGTAGGACCTAAGCACTATTCTCAATGAACTCAATAGTGCCTTCCAACTAATAGGTCTTAAGATGAACATGGACAAAACACAGATCATGTATAACGTCTATGCCATACTTATGGCGGTAGTTGTTTGGGGGCTCAAAGTTGAAGCTCGATGTTGTTGACGAGTATGTTTTCCTGGGACGTATAGTCCGACTAGGTAAGTCTAACTTTGATCGAGAGATCAATCGACGGATTCAACTCGGCTGGGCAGCGTTCGTGAGATTACGGCACGTCTTCTCGTCAGGTATACCTCAAAACTTAAAAACAAGATTATGTAACTATTGCGTGTCGCCAGTGATGACCTATGGAACTGAGACGTGTTCCTTCACTGCTGACCGGATGAGGAAGCTCAAGATCGCTCAGCGAGCTATGGAGAGGACTATGCTAAGAGTTTCAAAATGAGGACATCCGCAGTAGAACCAGAGTGACCGACATAGCCGACTGACACGGATTAGTAAGCTAAAGTGGCAATAGACCGAACATATGGCTCAAAGAACCAACAACCGATGAGGAAAAAAGGTTCTTGAGTGGTGGTCTTGTACCGGCGGACGAAGTGTAGGGCGTCCCCCACTAGATAGAGTGACGACCTGGTAAGACATGCAAGAAGTCGATATATGCAGATGTCTCAGGGCCGTGCATTGTGGCATTTCTTGGGGGAGGCCTATGTTCAGCAGTGGACTTGTGAAGGGCTGCAATGATGATGATGATGAAGTTAGAGTGGCCTTTTGCCCGTTTTCGGCTTGACGTTGATTTATGGGACACTTGACATATAAGAGATTTCCACTTATGTACTGACTCATCACGACATTTATTTTTGAAATTCGGTAGAAATATTCATTTCGCCGAGTAGAGGTCAGTTAAAAACGGATGCGGGGGCGTTAATTAAAAGAAAATACATTTTTAAACTATAGCTTTTATAGGTTTAAAAGTTGGCCAGAATATTCTTTTTGGTGTGTAAAAAATACCAAGAAAATCCGTTTTTGGTATTTTGAAATTCTATTCACAAAGGGTAGTGCGGGGGCGTTAAAAATATATTTTTTAACCTTGTAATCGATAGCTCCTTAAGTCTCGCTAAAACTCGAAAACGGCTGGATAAATTTCGACGAAATTTATCTGTGTGTTTGAGTGGGTCTCTGGATGATCTAAACGATTCACAATTGGACCCGGTAGGTGGCGCTGTTATCGAGATACAGAAATCCGAATACGAATATAATACGAAATACGAATCCTATCGATCCTGATCGGTAGTCTTTAATGTAAGAAAGAAAGGTTGGATAGTTAATAATGAAAAAGTTTGATAAGATTGTAAAGCAGTCTTTGAAAAGTAGAGATATGTTTGTATAAAAGTAAATTTAAATATGATACATAATCATAAGGTAATAAACAGTTTCTGAAACAAATCATATATCATACATATCATACTTTATTATCTTGCTCGCTATTTGGCTTGCAGTTTTCGAAATATTTTATTGTAATCTTTTTAGTTTTAAATTACATGAAGTACTTAAAATAAAATATATTTTACAGGTCTTAAAATTAAAAAAAAAACACATTTTGTATAAAAAAAATATTTCATTTTCACATATTTACATTTTATTGTTTAACATAATAATTTATAATATCTATTTATTACAATAAAACGTTGAAAACTAAAATTATTATACAGCCCTCTTTCCCTGACATAGTTTCAAGAACGCTAGCTGTTTCCTGTCGGAATAGCTATACTTATCCTGTACGCGAGACAAGAATTAGCCGTCTTACTAATAGCGGTGATCAGTCGCGGATATAGTTCCATTAGAAACTTTACCACGCGTTAACTCCACGGTCCGATAGTTTTTACAACAAATGGCGTAAATATATAATCATCTCTCTATGCTAAAATGCCTCTGATGTTGCCCCGACCCTAAAGGAGGTTGCTACTACTAAACGGGCCACCAAATTGTCTACGCATTATAACTTCTCATACAAGAGCTTTAAATCTCTCCCAAGGATACAAAGTCATCCGAATATAATTACATTATACAAAAGGTAAATAATAATATTATATAGAATAATAATATTATACAAAAGGAAATATTTATTTCACAAGGCTCTAAAACCGAGGGATTATTCATAGAGATAAGATACCATGGGATAACATTGTTCAGAGACCGTGACGAGACGACACTATCAGCACTTTTCTTACATGAAAATCCGTGGAGCCAAATCTCGTCGACGGCGCTATCACAAGAACACACCAATTTGATAAATCGCCGCTCTTAGATGGGTTTTGGGAATGTTTATTATTTTTACCACGTTTCTATTAACTCGCTTTCTTGTCTGTTCGGCACAGATTTTACGATTTGTTTTTAAACGAACTTCCCGATGAGCTAGAGACTAGAAACTTTAAAAAATAGCTCAAAACTGGATGACAATCTAATACTAACTCACTTTTTTGTCTATCTATTTGTTTGTATTTCTGTTTAGTACAAATTTAGCAATCGATTTTAAGATAAGTTTCCGATGAGTTAGAGATTTGAAACTCTAATGTAGTTTAGGATTAGAAACGTGTAAAATTGGCTACATAGGAGAATTAAAATTTAGTTACATTACACTATGATATAATTTGATGTGAATTGTTATTGCTTAATCAATATTTAAGAAACTAGTAACATAATTTTTTAATTATTACAATTTTTCCTAAAAAAAACTCAAAAAATTTATTATTTAACTGTAAAGTATTAAAAAATTATTGCATTGTAATTTTTTAATACTTTACATTATTTACAATATGACATAGTAAAATGAAATCCTACTCTTCCTTAAATTGCAAGAATTACTATCACCTAATCACAAGCGTCCATAGAGTAATAATAACCACATAGAAGATGTTCGTGTAATTTGGTTGAGCGTCACTGGAAAGAGCACTGGCATGACATTCAGCTTCATCAGCTCGTAGCTGCAGCAGAGGCACAAGGCGGCCAAGTTTGTCTATACAATAAGCATCACGAACCGCTCTTCGTAATTCAGAGCCGGCTTCATTTTCTTGAAACCAACGTCGCAACCATGCGCCCAACCAATTTAGTTCACATTCGCAAAGAAGCGGGTTGCCCCTAAGGATAAGTCCACCTGTCAAGAGAAAGTAAATTGGTATAGGAAACATGCAACCTATCTCACATGTTACGATCTCGGACTGAGAACTTTTTCTTATGTATACCAGAGTTTTCTACATAATGTAGCTGCATATTATGGTTGTAGCACGAATTGGTCAGCTCGACTGGAGAAGGACAATGCTCTTACAGGTTACTAGGGTTAAATAGACACTTTGTTTTTGTGTTTTGTATAGCAAGTATAGAGAAGAGGAGACCCTTTTTACCAGAAATGACGCATTTTATCTTAGCCCTCGATTCCTCATATGACATCACGTCTGCATTTTGACCCTTAATCGAGGATATATGTATATGGATCTAGACCACATCCTTAACTTACCATCAGGTGGACTAAGTGCTCGTGTGTCACCCTTATTCTATAAAAAGAAGGTAAAAACAAATAACGGCAACGAAGTGTGATGAACATTATAATTTCACTTATAGATAATTAATAACAACTCAGTGTTATCTTTTAAGTTAATGTTTATCCATATTTTCATGATTAAATTATGCATATCTCTAAAATTAAACATACCTGATAGAAGTTTTGTAGCAACATGACTCCAGCTTGTAAAATTTGGATAGAAAATGGCCGGATTTAGTTTTTTAATTTTATTATAGCTGATATCGATTCCCAGCTGCGGGACAAGGCCAAGATGTTTCATAAATTTATCTGGTAGTTTGGTTAAAGAGGTTTCCGTGATTTTCAAAAAAAGCTCTTGATTTTGGGCAAATGATTGAAAAGCATCATCAGATATGTTTTGTAAATTTCCTCCTTTTATTTCCAAATAACGAATATTTCTAGCATTAATCCAATGCAATTGCTGGTTCATTTCCTTATCAGTCCAGTAAATGACTAATTTGCATAATGAAGGTAATGGAGATGTTATATTAGATATGTGAAAATTTGAATGGTTTATGGTGGACCAAGTTTGAAGCTGTAAGGAACGTAAAGATATTAAAGGACGGAAGGAGTCGGTATGAATTACTTCTAAATGCTTAAGACCATTTATATTCAGGTACGATAAATTACTCAACCATTTAAAACAATTGACAGTTATCTTTTCAATAGGATTAAACGAAATATCCAATACATTCAAGTTGTTTAAGTAAAACCACATATTTGGCACTAAGGAGGTAATAAGATTATGGCTTATATCTAAATGTCGAAGATTAACGAGATTCTTAACATCAGTCTCTTTAAATTTGGTAATATAATTCAGGGTAAGATTTAGAGTTGTTAAATTTGTTAAAGGAAGGTAAGGCACCGATTTTAACCCCACATTCGCGAGATTCAAATGCCTTAAGTAAGGAAGGTTATGAAACAGCTCCTTAAAATTAGCCTTTAACGAATTATAACTAAGATCTAAGCGACGCAAACTCCCGAGACTAGAAAATGTGTTATCGGATAGAATTGTCAATAAATTATGCCCTAGATTAAGACTTAACAGAAATTGCGTATTTCGGAAAATGTTATTATCCAAGTATTCGATTCGATTATGAGATAAATCAAGAAAGCGAAGAGTAAAACCTATTTGCGACAAAGCCGTTACTGGAAACAATGAAATTTCATTATAACTAATATCCAGGTGTTCTATGATGGTGTTTTTAAATACATCCCTAGGTAGTAACCTCAAATGATTGTGGTCCATTTTTAAGTACTTTAACCTACTTAAATTACAAAACTGTTCCACAGATAATTGAGAAATTACGTTATAAGAAAAATCTAAAATCTGTAAAGATAAAAGGTGTGTAAAAGCCTTACGCTTAATAATACTTATTTTATTTTTATGTAAATCTAAGATTTCTAAAGACAACGATTCACCAAAAACTTCGTTTGGGATATGCGTTATTTTGTTATGAGATAGAATTATTTGTCGAATGGAAGATTCTATGGAAGCGTAAAACAGATTTGGCACTTCAATTAAACAATTATAAGAACCATCAAAAATATTAATAGGAATATTTGAATTCCCTTCCAAAGTTTTTACGTGATTATGACTAATGTTTAAGGTAAAAGGTGTGTGTATATCCGAAACATTATTAAATGAATTAAGTGAAAAATAAGTAAAGTTGTTATTTTGTAATTCTAATAATTCTAACTTAGGTAAATTAAAAAAAGTGTTTTCTTCTATGAAGTTAATACGATTATTGGCAAGAGTCAAATACCTTAAGTTGTATAAGTTACTAAAGGACTGTGTAGTTAAGTTATTAATTCGATTGAAAGACAAATCTAAATTCCTCAATTCAGGCATAAATTTAAATAATCCTTTATGTATGTTACTTAAAAAATTATATGATAATCTTAAGTTGGTTAAAGTTAATGACGTGTTGTGATAATCTTCTAATAATATGTCTACAATTCTATTATTATCTATATTTAAATATTTTAAATTTGGTAACGTAGCCATATCACGTAGCTTAAGAATATGAAAATCGTTATTATCGAAAGAAAGCCAGCTAACTTTTTCCAAGGCTTCATTAATTTCAAACGGAAAAAACCCACTAAATAGTGTCGAAGAAGACTCTATTATATTTAAAGTTCCTGTCAAGTTGGAGAAACAGCCAGGATGAACATAGTATAAATCATTAAAACTCAGATTAATTTCTATAACTGGCATCTGTGTTGGGAAAACATTATCATATATCTGGGCAATTCGGTTGCCTTTTAAATTAATAGTTAACAATGACGTGGACCATTCTTGAAATTCATTAGAACTTAAAGTGGTTATTTTGTTATAGCTTAAGTCCAGATAGCGAATAGAACCAGTGTCCAGCATTTGAAGCGTTGATGGTATTACGGTTAAAAAGTTTCCGGCAAGAGAAAGCGTTTGAAGCCTACTCGGGAAAAGGGGTGGTTCTTCGAACTGGTTGTAAGCTAAAGATAAATGCCGAAGGCGTACAACCTGTGCCAAGCTTTCTGGTAAGTGCGATAATTTGTTGTGTTCCATTTCTAAGTGTTCCAATGTATTTTTTACACTCAAAAACATATCGTGATGTATTAAACTAAGTTTATTATATGATATGGATAATTTTTCTATTCGATTGTTGGTAAATAATAAATTAGGTACATGCGTTAATTCATTAAGGTCTAGTATAATTTGTCTTATTTGAAATTCTTTTAGAATAAAAACTGAGTCACTGTTCATTTTATTATTACTTAAATCTAGTTTCTCTAACTTTTTTGTTTTGTTATGAATGTGTGAAGAATTAACCACAAAATTTATCATATTATGTCGCAAATGTAGTGATTGTAATCTAGGAACATTATGCATTAGATCACAGGGTATGATTTTAAGAAAGTTGTTTGACAGTTTAAGGACTGTTAAAGAAGGTGGAAGTGAGTTAGCATTGATGTTTCGTATATAGTTGCCTTCTAAATCTAGTTGTATTAAATGATTTAAGCTCGTAAGTGATTTCTCCTTTAATTCTGTGATTTGATTGTTACTGAACGATAAACTAGTAAGAGTTTCTTCTAAATAGTGCCATCTTATGTCTGATCCGATGTGCGCTATGTTGTTGCTAAAACAAATTAAAATTACATTAATTAAAAATATAGTAATAAATTCATGTTGTGTAATATTTTATTCCTTACTTTTGCAGATTTAACCAATTTAAAACTTTTAAGTCCTTAAGTCCTTGATAGGGTACTTCAGTAAAATCATTGTATCCAAGATCAAGTGATGCAAGCGAATTGGCCATCGAGCTGCAAATAATATTTTAATATATTATGATGCATTTTATTTCTTTTATTAGCAATTAAATGAAATAGTTACTTCACCTAAATGCATGATTTTCAATGTGGTGTAAACGGTTTGCAACTAAAACCAAAGTTTGCAAATGTAAGCCATCTAAAGCACTTTCTGAAATTATTTCTAGGTTTGACATGCTTATATCCAGATGTTGAAGCTCTATTCGAGGCCACTCTGCAATGATTAAAAAAAGTAAAATTAAATATAGTGGTTTATGAAATCACAAAATATTTATTAAATACTTAAATGCTTTTAGAAAAAATTACTTCGCAAATATCCGCGTTATAAAATAAAATGATGTGTCTTAACTAGTATGAAGAGCACCTCCCGCCCTCCCTCAATTGCGTGCACTATCCCCGTCACAACTAATCCCAGCACCGCTACTCCCAACACCACTACACTAGGCAAGACACACCACTGACGACAATACGGCACCTGTTTCACCTCTACACGAGGCATCCTCGGGTGATATAGACTCTACGGTGGCTAACCGCTAAGTGAGCGGCGAGCCAAAACAATGCCTCGTGTAGAGGCGAAACACGTGTCGTATTATCGTCAGTGGTGTGTCTTGCCTAGTGTAGTGGTGTTGGGAGTAGCGGTGCTGGGATTAGTGGTGAAGGGGATAGTGCACGCAATTGAGGGAGGGCGGGAGGTGCTCTTCATACTAGATAAGACACATCATTTTATTTTATAACGCGGATATTTGCGAAGTATTTTTTTCTAAAAACATTTATATAATGGATTTCCGCAAAGTAACGCCTGATTCTATTAATTATATTAAATACTTAACAAAGTCTAGAAGGAGCAAGGTATGTTTATTAAAACAATTTATTTCAAGTTTAGTTTTGTTTTAAATGTTATACATTAATAAAAACGTAATGTATTTTCTATTTAATTGTTAAATTTAATAAAATGCGTGTACGACAAAATACAAAAAGCATTGGTAAAACTAAAATTGTGCTTAAAACGAAAAAACACATCACAAGCTCTAAAAATCAAATATCTAACAAATTTTGAATAATCTGTTAGACATCCCAAGGTAATACCTTGACGTTTCTGCATCGATGAGGCATACTGAATTTAGGTTACCAATTGTCACCTTCGGAATAAGATTCCATATTCTTGAAAGATGAGAATAAAGCTCTTTTTCTGTGTTAAAATTTTGGCGGCCAAGTTATGTTTTGGCGACTTTTTATCAGGGTTCCATAACCAAAGGGTTTGGTAACTAATCGGGCCCTATTACTAAGCCTGCGCTGCCCGTCCGTCAGTCGGTCCGTCCGTCCGTCTGTCTGTCAGTGGGCTCTATCTCATGATCCGTAATAGGCATACAGTTGAAATTTTCACAGAATGTGTATTTCTGTTGCCGTTATAACCACAAATAATAAAGTTAAGAATAAATTAAAAATTAAGTGCGGCTTCCATACTAGAAACGTGTTTTACGTTAGTACGGAACCCTTCATGCGCGAGCCCGACTCCGTGGCCGTTACCGTTACAGCCTAATAAATTACACTGATGAAAATAGGCCTCCCCCATGGACTGCTTCGTAGTGTCTTTTATATAATAAATTGTTGGAAAACTTTTCGACATTATATTGATGCATACATTGCAGAGTTTTGAAAGATTTTGACGACAGCACAAAAACTCAAAATCGCATCACTTGTACGTGTAAAAATCTAGTTATAATAATTATTCAAATGATAAATAAGAGCAAAAAGACCTTTTCCCCCTTTATTTCGAAAACTTTTATGCACATTTTGGTAATTTTTTTTCGATAATTATAAGTTGCAATTTCAACTAAAAATATTTTAAAAATTTTAGTAGCCAATACTTTTCCTAGCGTTTTCAATAAATTACATGTTTAAATGAGCCAGGTCTTTGTAAAATATGTGGAACTCGGGCAAATACGAGCTCGTATTATATAATAATTATAGAGTATATATAATAATTATACAGTACAATTGCATGTATACTTTAGTGGTTCGGAATGAATAATCAAATATTTTAGTCTACTTTCAATATGTTGTCTCGTCTACTTAGTCTAAAATAAAGCCGGTGAACAACAGATTGAAGTGAACTTTCAGCTGTCAAGTATAACTTACATATGGATTTCTAATATGATGTCAAACGTCATTTATCGTATAATGACATATTCACAAACTAACTAGAAACATGGATTACCACCGTCAAGATATTTTTTGTTGTTGTGTATTGCTATTTTATTTGTAATTTATTTTGAAATATGTACGATTGGTTATTTTTTATGTACAAAGAGGTGGCCACGACGGCCATAAATTTTATAAAATCTCTTTTACATAGTTGGCTTGCTCCCTAGAATTTGCTGTGTAGTCTTTTATAACTATAATAGTTTTTTTTCTACTATACCTGAATAATATTGATTTAGGTCAATAAAGCAATAAATAAAATAAAATGTGACTAAATTCTACTAAGTGCTAGGACTCCTTTTCTGCATTTCTTTTTTTTTTCTTTTAAAAAGGATTTCTAGGAGTTCATCTAGGATAGGTATCCCCTTTTTATTTATTTCTGCCGCTATATAGCAATGCACGCACTGCTATTTGCCTAAGGTGGCTGCAGGTGTCCATGGGTTGCAGTGGCCACTCACCATTAGGTGGACTGTGAGTTTGTTTGTCACTTCAATAAAAAAATCAGTAGGCACAATTTATGAAAAAAGATTTTAGAAAAAAGGATGAAATTTATTTTACAGGCTAAGTAAAAAATGCTTTACGTACTGGTATTATATTGAAAATAGCTTTGCAATTTGAAATTTATCAGGTGATCTAATGGTTGAATCATAATCGTTTTCTCACATTATAACCCATCAAATCAATATTCATTAGTATCATTTAAAATTTTATTATACAGGTTGAGATCAGTTATAAAAAATGTAAATGAAAATTATTTGCTTGCCAATAAAAAACTATTTTTAAGAAGCTACACTGAAGCTTAATTTATAATGTGCAAATCTATGAGTACGTTATATTATTTTTTTTTTAATAAAATAGATTTAGTTGTTAATTTTAATAAGAAACAACACTGACTGGATACTGATATGTGCCAGACATATTATATGGACGCGTGACAAAAAAAATCACTATTAAAATATACAAGCATTTATAACACAGATAAAATTAAATAATAATTAAACTTTGTTCTGAAACATTAAAAAATGATTATAAAATGCTCACCACAATTGGTAAAATTTACCTGGGAATCTGTGGAGGGGAACGGCAATACATGACATGTGCGCAACACGACAAGAACACAAGGGGCTACTTGTACAAGGTTCCAATGGCTCTGGGGCGAGTGCACCGACCAGCAGACAAGCCACCAGTGCCACCCTCTGGAACACCCGCCGCGTATAATCATCGCCAAACACCATCACTGAAACAATTGAAACTTTTGATTAAATGTAACCATTAAATTCTTACGAAATTTTTTACTTTTTTAGAATATTTTCAATAACAGTTGTATTTTCTTCGCACGAACACTCTTATACTTATAAGGTGAGCAAAAATAAGCTTTAATTAATTTTGTCACTATTATCTATCAGTTGAGAGTTTATTTATACGTGTCGTTTATTCATAACACCCTATCAAAAGTCCACTGCTGAACATAGGTTGCCTAATAGGGGAGATTTTGTAATAGTTGTCACGTTTGGTGGTGGGTTTTTATTATTTTAAGCTGTTATAAAGAAGTTGCTGCTACTCTGTTTTAGATTCCCTCTGTTGTCATCTTCTGTTTTAGATTCCCTCTGGTGCCTCTTATGACGTTCATGGGATGATATGGGATGATGGATTCTCTAACGACGCCATGGCAATTTGAACGTCCATGAAATATTCTCCTATAAAGTTATTAAATTGTATAAGGTTTGTTTCTACATTGAGTGTCTAAAATGTCTCACTTAAATTCTGGATTTTTTAAATGAAATAAAACCCTAAACAAATTTTGTTTTCTCCGCAATTTATAATTTTGCCAATTTCTCTATACTTGCGATTACTTCATTTGGAGGAGTAAAATATATGTCACATATTAACAAACTATTTACTACATGAGGTTTGTATGTATGTATAGCTGGGAGTCTATTAGAATGTTAAACATCATTAATTTCATATTATATGGGCTTATCTTATTATAGAACAAGGGTGACAATACGGCACACAGTCCACCTGATGATAAGTTGATGCTGTGATCTATAGACGCATATATCTATCTATTCCCATGTTAATCTATACAAATAAATAAAATTGAAGTGTCTGTTTGTAATTAAAAATAAAAGCTTTTTACTAAATACATATGAAAGTATATACGGTATCTATAACAAAAACTTTTATCTCTTTGTTCCGGCTAATCTAGGAAATGGTTGGACCGATTTTAACGGGACTTTTATTGGCAGATAGTTGATGTTATGAGAAACTTAGACTACTTCTATTTTAGAAAAAAAAATAGGGTTCCGCGCAAAAAAATAAAACCATAAATTACACGCGGGTGAAGCCGCGGGGAACAGCTAGTTATTAATATTGAATGCCTTGTTACCAGTAACATGGTCTCCAGTTCTAGGCACTCGTCGTACTTATCACTCGCCATACGAAACAAAGCAACATCATATTTCTATTTCCATTCTATTGATAATCAGTATAAATTATTATATTTATCTCGCACTAGCATCATTGTCTTTGATTAGCTGACTACCGCGTGTAATATTTATTTATTTAACAATTTTATTAACGGAGTCAGTTTTTTGGTGACAGCCTTAACCTATTATTCATTAAACTTTAGAAATCGTATTCAATATTTCGTCTCCTGTCACCACCATACACACAATACACCTAGAAATTGAATATAGACATCAGCGTCCGTTTCCAGACAACCCTCTCTTATTTGTAGCTGCTTTTGAAAGGCACCTAATTCTAATTAATCTCTGGATCACAGTGGCGACGCCTTGAAAAATGCGTTAATTTTATCCGCCCTTGTGCTTTTCTCAATAACTGGCAGTGTATGTCTCATTATCATCATTATTTGTTTGCAAGAAAGTGGCAATTTGAACACCTGTAAAAAATTTTAACAATTGTAACGCTGCAGTGATGCTCTAGAAAGCCATGGCTATATTATGGTTCCTACGAAGTTAGGTCAGCAGTAAGCTTAGCACGAATTTTTTTCCCATACCGCCTGGTAAGAGCCCCTAGACTCCACTATCTATGCGCTGGATAAGCAAACGTGACGCCATTTTGTTTACGTGAATCTCTAAATCCTTGGCGTTGTAGCTGAGCACCTTTCACAACATCGCTTGAACATTCTTCCCTTAATCCGAAAGCAGCCAATTTCTTGACAGATATTGAAATCATTTTATTGTCAATAAAATTCAACACTGATGATAAAATCGTTACGCGTGCTTTGTTGCTTATGTACATAGTATTTCATACTAGCGCCCCGGCTTTGTCTGGGTATGTTCTATTAATGTGGCCTAATTTAGATTAAATATGTTGCATATGAACTACTTTTATGGATTTTATCGCGTTAAATTGTACTTTTATTTTTAATCCCCGACGTTTCGGGTGCTTTACAGCCCCTATGGTCACGGGAGACTGAAGTGATAGGCGTCCCGATGTCAGAGTTAACCCGGAGTGCCTTCAGCTTTCTAATTATTACTTTCGGTACGATATACGTAAAATGAACTTAGTGCGTCTTGAAGTCTTGCTGTAGTATGCTTGGGCCTTAGATTATTGACTTGGGCTTAGTTTGAATTGTATTAATTAAAACTAAACCCAAGCAAGAAGTTTGATCATATATCACAATATTGCTCGAAGCTTAAGTGGCTCGAAATCCGGTTTCGCCGGAACATACACCTTTTCACCACTTTGTATGGTATTCTTCACAATTCTTGTTCCTCTGCTATTCTGTAAGAGCGTTTTTCATACTTCAGCTTATCCCATTCGATGACCAACAAAACTCAAACTATCCCGATGCATAAATCTACATACTAATTGGATTCCTTTACGGTATCATCAATTACACTTCATTGTAATAACCTTCCACAAGATTTAAAAGTTGCTCCCTCAAAGGTTAAGGCACATTATTTAAAATTACTTGATTGATGTTATTGGTTTAAATAATATTATAATTTCCTATACTAGATTGTATGTATTTTATTGGTATAGTATGTATATGTATACATGTGTGTATAAGTGTACATATGTATAAAGTACATATTTATATTATACTATATTATGTAAAAATAAGTTTTTTTTCCCCTTGCGGCTCTACCCACAGCTCTCACCACACTACCAAAGGTTAGCCGGCAGAGAATGCCTTATAGGCACTAACTTAACCTTTGTACCAAACGTTTGTTTGTTTGAGTTTCAATTTCAATAGTCTCACGTTCGTCCCTAGCAGGAATCGATGTTCTTTCGCGAGGATTTGTGGTCTATCAAAATTAACGTAATGGCGGGGAGCGTCTAGGATATGATCACATGTGATATGAACACTTACAGCGTTGGTGTTTCACGTCAGGTTATTTTATCAGCAGTAAGACATGATACTAATAAGTCTAATAAGTTTAATAGAAGCTCGCTTCAAAATGTAGCCAATCTTGTCTGTGACACATCTGATATATAGTAGTATAGCAGGCAAACGTTGGAAATTAAACATAAGTTCAATTAAACGCGATAAAATCCGTAAAAGTAGTTTTATTTAATGAGTAGTGATCGCGCAAATATAAGAAGTATTTAGATTAAAGATAATCAAAACTATTTACTTAATCAACTTTCCGTTTCTTTTAAATCACTTCTAACATTGTTTTTTAACTGTTCGTGAACTTTTATTACAATTGGATGTATATTTTAAGCAAAAAATTCTGTCGTTAACATTTTCGGATATTTTTCACAGGCTATTCGTTTGTGTGTACTCATGTAATCTGCAGAAATGTCTGTACTCTGCATCTAATATGATATATACGTGGTCAAGCCACGCTGTAGATCTATTATGGTTGTAACACGAATGGGTCGACTCGACTGGGTAGGGTCACGCTCTAACAGAGTACCAGCGTAAAATAGCAGCTGTGTTTTGTATGGTGAGTGTAGAGAACCGGAGACCCTTTTTTACTGGGAACGAGGTATACTATCTTAATCGTCAGGGGTGACAACGCATCTGCATTTTGATTCTAAATCGACGATAAATGTAGATGGCTATGGGCCACAGCACCCACTTACCATCAGGTGGACTGTGTGCTCGTTTGTCACCCGTAGTCACATTTGTGTGTTTGACATTATACTGTAAAATATTACGCCAACAGTGATGATAACGACAGTACATCCCAATAATGGTCACCTGTTTCCACCGGTTTATATATTTTAAGTCGGAGATTTTTTGATATATGCTTAATAATAATAATAATAATAATAATAGTTCTTTATTTCAGATATCAAAGATCCATAAGTTGTTAGTATGACTTATATTAGGTTAGTAATTGAGAACATTAAATAAATTAAATTAAATCAAAATTAAAATCAAATCTATACCCAAAATTAAATTACAATAAAATCAAAAATAAAACTAATAATCAAATAATAGTTAAGTCAAAATAATCAAACAAAAATCAAATAAAAATCAGTGGAAATCAAATAATGTCTTAATTAAATTAGATTAAATACAATCAAAATTGAAATAAAATATCAAAATAAAATCAGATGAGTTCAATTTGGATTTAATTTAAATAACTGTGTTTTAAAATAACCCTCCTCACAAAACAGGCCCAAAGCGGAGAAGTATACCTATCTGCCAGGATTTGCAGAATGCTATTGGGACTGCCTCGCGCTCTAAATATTAGCGATGTGGTTTTTTTGCGAATAATGGCTGCAAAGTCGTCAAATTGGTATTCTGCAAACATCGCTGATGCACTACAGAAACGTGGCAATCCCAACAACATCCTGAATACATTATTATATTGGACTCGTAGGGTGTCCAGCGACTTCTTGGTATAGCTGGTTCACAGATTTCCCGTGTACATGTTTTGGCAATACGCTTTAAAAAGGGTCACCTTAACGTCTTCGCTACAACGATAGAATCTGCGAGCCAACATATTGCCTCTAACTGAGAGAGCCCTACGTTCCCTTTCTATATCAGCGTCGTCTTTAAGGTCGTCGGTATTTATATGTCCCAGATAATTAAATTTTGATACACGTTGTATGTTCACGCCGTTCAGGGTAATGTTATACTTTATCGGGACATTTACCAGCGGCCTTAAACACCGTGCATTCTGTCTTTTTTACATTGTATATGAGCTCGTGCTCAGCAGCATATTTCTCACAAACCCTTAGCATCTTGTTAAGACCCCCGCAGTTGGACAGAGCAGTACACTGTCATCAGCGTAATTTATATTGTTGG